AGTGTTTGCCATAGCACATCCCTATCCACTCTGTCATAGGCCTTTTCCAAGTCCATAAACGCACAAAAAACCTTTTGGGTTTTGGCCAAAAACTTCTCCGCGATCATGCGCATGGAAAAGACTTGATCTGTACATCCCATTCCCTTTCTAAATCCCGCTTGCACATCCCAAATTTTTCCATCAGTTTCTTTCTTGACCCTTTCAATCAGTACCTTAGCATACAGTTTTCCCACAATGCTAAGAAGGCTGATGCCACGGTAGTTTTTACAGTCCTGCTGCGACCCTTTTCCTTCGTAGTGCTCTGAAAGAATTTAAGGCTGAAGTCTTGTGTGACCCTGGGAAATGGGTTGACGCTAGTAACTCCATTGTTTCTGTTTCACTATTAGTGAAGTTACCATCAGGCTTTTTAAGAAGCCCGTCACTTTTCCCTAAGTTCATTTACCTTAGTATTCCACCAAGGAACTTTTCTTGTTGAGTTCTTGGTTCTGACGGGGCAACTGTCCTCGAGGCTTCACAAATACCTACGGTTACTGTCTCCGTCGCTAACTCCAGACCTTCAATCGTTTTGATGCTTTTAGGAAACGTTTCCAAATTCCTCCTTAGGATATCTCTGTAAATATCCCAGAAGGTCGCTTTTGGATCCCTAAAAGCAACGGTTTCATTGGTTGGTGATGTTCCAATCATAAACTTAATATGTTTGTGATCAGACATCGAGTTTTCACTACTAACATTTCATTCATTTATCCGCCTGGATATATTATTAGTAGCAAATGTTATGTCTAACACTTCTTGGCTAGCACGCGTAACAAAGGTTGCTGTACACCCTAAGTTTAGGAATGAGAAAATCATAAAATCGTAAACTCTGGGTCTACTGCCTTTAGTATTGACAAGAATCTTACCGGCAGCCGACAATCCCAGAACTTGAACGTTGGCCACCCAAGGTTCTTGTAGTCTTCACCACGGCAGAAGCAGCTGCTGCACGTTGAAGATTTGCCTGGAGGACCCTCGTTTTACCCCTGGAGTTAGCCATTTATGGGCGTGGGGGGGGGCAAGGGTCTTTTCCGCCTGTTGAGGACAAAGACGTCCTTTACCGAAGGCGCTGGCACACAAGTAACATCGGTTTGCTTAAATATTTAATTTAATAATAGTATCAGTGAGCTATTTTGTGTAATATTGCTAACATTCAGTGGCTTTAGCTACTATATAACAGTGATAGTGTTATCCATGTGTATTATTGTGTCAGAACGAAAGATTTAAATTTTTTTTAAATACGTTGTGTTTGAGTGTATTATGACAAAATACTAGTTTTACCTTTAATATTAAAGTTCAAAAGACGGTGGACATAGTGCAATTAAGCTAAACTAAATATACTATTAGTAATTATCTTCAGTACTTTAAATACTTAGTAACCTTAATACTTAATCTTGTGACGGTTATATTTAGATACCTACTCAGTATAAATTAAAATTTACTCATATCTCATAGGGAATTAAAGATCTGTGTAACGTCGCCATCTAGAAGTAAATCATAGAATCACAATAATCAATATTTTTCACCCGATTAATTGAATTACCTTACTACTCGAGTTTACCCTTGCAAAGAGAAAGATGGCGCCTCCAACTATGAATAAAGTCCTTTGTAATGGACAATGTTCAGAAAAAATTATTAGCAGGCAGTTTTTAAAGTGTTATGTTTGCACCAAGCATTATGACCTCCTGTGCGCAAATGTATGTGAAAAACGATTCTATAAAACCATGACTACAGAACATAAACGAAAATGGAAATGTCATGAATGTTTAAGCAGGGAACCGAAGTCTGATAACACAAACACGCCTATTAAGCAGGATTTAATGGGTTCCAGCTGTACGAATGTCACCTTACGTGGTCGTGCCAATAAACCGAGTCCATCGGTTTCAACTAGTGTTGCCCAAATGCAAGAACAAGACGAGACTTAGCCAGTCTTGGTCTTGGTCTTGCGCCAATACACCTGGTCTTGTTCTTGTTCTTGGTATTGCGCTCTCAGTCTTGTTCTTGGTCTTGGTCTTGAAGCAAGAGGCTCGCAAGTCTCGCAATTACCGATTAGCCTATTGTTATTTATTAAACGTTACTTTAGATCTTAGAATAACTTAACAGAGTAGGCACATTTTGAGCTTGAATTAACATAGCCATAGAAAGACCAACCAAATTAATAAATGTCTAAACATTTAATGAGAAATTCGAAAAATCAACTAATACCGGGTGGGGTTTGAACCCACTACCTAAGCGATCCGTGCCGATGCTCTAACCAACTGTGCTGTCTACCAAGTCTCACGGCCACGGGAGTTAGTCTGTTTCTTAATAAACGTTTACATTCAATAAGCTTACATGTGCTAAAACTTAATCAAAACACATAAAAAACAAATTAATGACATTAACTTGACTGTATTATAAAGAACATTATCTGTCTAGAAAGAGATTGATAGACCCTTATATGAAATGGAATAAAAGAATTTTTTGTTTACAATTTACCATGTATTTAAATAAAAAAATAAAATACAATACAAATTAAATTACATAACAGTACACAACAGCTTGGACATTACTGTTAGTTTATATAAATTCTTTTGACCAAGAATTAATACAAAGTAACCATCTGGCTGACTCATCACTTAACCTATTTCTATGTTTTCTAATTACTAATGATGCTTTAGAAAATAATTACTCAGCAGGCACTGAAGTTGCAGGTATTGAAAGAAAATCACGTTCCATCTTCGATAAAGTCGGATATTCTGTCTCATGCGTCCTCCACCACTCTAAAATGTGGCTGGCGAACTGGCAGCTCTGGGTTTACTTAGGTACTCCTTCAACTCGTCTATAACTAAGCCTTGATGAAAAGATCCAGATCCAGATGACGTCGAGGGACATTCATACAATTTCTCAAAGTCTATTTCTAAACTAACACTAACAACTTTGATTGTGAGATCAAGTTCGAAATCGCGTAAAAAGATCTGCTCCTCTATACATTTCGGTCGAGTAGATAGAAACATTATCTATGGAATTCACACTTTGGTAAATTAGACAAATATACTTACTTGTCAAAACAACCACAGTAGTGACTAGTATGCTTGACGAGTTTTAAATCAGTAATTTAAATTGCTTTTTCACGCCAAACGTAATGCAGCCATATCGTTTAGTTGTCTTCTTCTTTTTCGAAATTCTTTTACGTAAAATTAAGTAGTACTCTTTCGTGGTGGCACGACTGAAGCTGTCTTAGGCATCCAGTACTTCACAGGCGACAATAAGTTGTAGTGCGCGTAGGAATTATTGTCGTTTGCGATTATACGAGTATATCGAACTTTAAAAATCGCAATGAATAAATTTCGTAGTAAGCGCTTAACCTTAATTTTTAGGGTTCCGTAGCTAAATATTCTTTTTATCGTATGATTTTTTCTTAGTAGTATTAGGGTGATTAATGAGCACACAATCCACCTGATTGTAAGGGGCTGATATAGCAATTTTTCACAAAATATTGATATTCTACAAAAATTGTTAAAAATAATAATTAGAGAGCAATGAGTTACCAAAATAAAATGTTCGACTATACACTGTAAGTACTTTGAAGAAAAATGTTTCCCTCATAGAGGTGCTCTAAGAGGAAAACTACAACACATCCAACCATAAACATTTATTAAGAATACCTATTGAAACTTTTTTATTATTTAATAAAGTATGTAGCAAAATTGCGAAATATTTTTAAGTAGAGCCCATAACATTTTTACAATAAATGAGTTCCCTTTGAAGGAAAATACAAAGCCCTAAAACATAATGAAAACTTGAAAATTAAACCCCAACTACATTTTAGGACATCTCAGTAATAACGTGTGACTAGGGTTCTATCTCTCTATATATCTATCTATCTTTATTATAGGGCCTATATATACTATATATATAAGGGCCTGAATATGTTTCACAGTATTCTAAAAAAATTACATCGTAGTCTTGTTTAATACTTTTTAGTAGACATTTCTTATCGCATTTTTGTTTTAGTGATTAACTTTTAATTTGTAATATACACATAAATTTACGTAATAAAGCCACGCTACAGCTATATTATAGTTGTAGCACGAATGGCTCGACCGGGGAAGGACCACGCTCTCACAGAATACCAACTTAAAATAGCAGCTTAATACTGCTGTGTTTCGTATCATCATTTCATCATCATCATCATTACAGCCCTTCTTAAGTCCTCTGCTGAACGTAGGCCTCCCCCAAGTAACGCCACAAAGCACGGTCCAGGGCAGAGGTTTTCTCGGAACCAGTTCTAAAAGGCCTTTTATGTAATAATCCTACAAATACCATTTTAACTATCTCCCTACATCAAAAATGGGCTTAAGTCCCCGTTATTAGCCCCATTTAATTTTTAAATAGTAAGCGGGCTATTACGTTAGTGAAAGACCAAAAAAGACGCTTAGCGTTGATGTCCTTATTTTATGGACGGACGTGCGATAGTCAGAGATGCCTGTGTCGGCGCGTCTATAAAGTACAGAGAGGTTGCATCACTCTAGAGGAGTGGTCATATTAATGGTGGAATCACAGAATTGAATGTACATATATCGAGAATTCACTAGTTTGTGCAGTGTGGAGTTCATTGTGGGTACAGTCTCAATCTTGTACAGCTCCAGGACCCTCTTTAGCCATGCATGGGAAACCGAGTCGAATGCCTTTCTGTAGTCTATCCAGGCGGCGGAGAAGTTCCGACGGTTGTGTTTCACCACTTTGTATATGACCGCGTCAATGAGGAGTGGTTCCTTGGTTCCACGACCGCCGCCCCGACATCCATTTTGAGTGCGCGACATCACCTGATTTGAGTCCAGGTGACGAGTGATTCTCGTGCTCAAAATGGATGTAAGTGTCTTGTATATGTTCGGTAGACACGTGATGCGGCGATATTTGCTCAGGGCTGTGGTAACCTGGTCTTTAGGAACCAAATAAGTGATCCCAGTAGTGAAGAGGCTAGGGAGCTACTTCTGGTTGAGAGCCTCTTGAAGCTGTCGGGCGAGCACAGCGTGACACACCACGAACCCTTTCAGCCAGTAGTGATGCAGCCCGTCGAGTCCCGGACATTTCCAGTTCGGGGCCCTACGGACCGCCTCACCTACGTCATCAGGCGTTATGACGATGGGGTCCATGGCCGTAATACTCGCACACTGACTCGCCACAGCTTCCGTCCAAGGGCCCTCGCTGTGGTTTACAGGCTCTGACCACAGGCTGCGCCAGAATTCGACAGTGTCGCCTAATTCGGTGCTGGGCCCGTTCCACTTACTATTGGTCACTCCAATGATTATGAGCCTCTTCTGATCACTCCGGAAGACGACCGTGTCGACTTCTCGGTATACCGAGAGTCGACACGGTCGTCTTCCGGAGTGCCAACCAGACACGAATTATTATAATTTAAAAATTGAAATACCCCCGAAACCGTGTGACCTCTCGGTATACCGAGAGGTCGACACGGTCCAACCAGACACGAATTATTTAATCGAGAGAATGCAATAATCGAGAGATTTTGGAGTTAGAGTGTTCTTTTTGTTTCGAGGGTATTTCAATTTTTAAATTGAGTTGTTATTAAGGTTGATAACTATTACATAGTCCGAATTAGTATCGACGCAAGAAGTGTATACCCAAATTAATTTCACATACATTTTTTACATTGATATTTATAAATAAATGGTACGTGTCAGGCATTTAATATGCATGTAAGAATGTAAGTTGTGTAAGGTTACGTTGTAAATTTGCGGTTCACCGCTGCAATTACAGAGGTGCGATATTGCTTATTTTTGGCCGAGTTCCAGCCAGCCATCTTTCAGTGGGTAATACGGAGCCTCGACATGTGTTGTATTGTTCGGTTATTCGTATCTGTTGTTTTCTTATCTAAACTTGAAAATATTTCTTTTTAATATATATATAAATATATATAAATACATATATATATATATATATATATATACATATACATATAATTTAACTCGCTCAATATAGCTGTTAAAGTCTCTCTCTTTCTCTATTACAAAAAACAGAAAGACATATATAGAGATAATTAATTTTTTAATTTAAACCTTTCGCTGTCCTGTGCACTAGATATATGTCATCATGTTCACTTTCACTGTCCAGATTTCAGACACAGTAGTAAGATATGTAGAATGCAATGACCTATATGTATTGCACAGGACAGCGAAAGGTTTAAATTAAAAATTAATTATCTCTATATATGTCTGTTCTGTTTTTTGTAATAAGAGAAAGAGAGAGCAACTTTAAACATTGTTCTTATATTGACGCCGATTTTAATGAGTTAGGCCATTAGTCATTTATTTGACGGCTTCGTGGCGCAGTGGCTCAGCAATTAGTTGCTGAGGGTTTGAATCTCGCACGAATCAAGTATTTATATGGCCTACAAATAATTTTTCCGGAACATCCAGAATGTTTTCCTTGTGAAATATATGAATGTAAACTACCCCTTACGATACAGGAGAAATTCCTAGTATGAAGGTAACGTAAAAAAATTGTTTGACTCTGCAGGCCATCCCTGGAACTTCCCGCTAATTTCAAATGCAAAGCGTCCCAAATTTCACCAAATTATGTTGCGAAATCTCGAAGTTATGTTAAAAGAAAAACGTTTTTTACGAATTCTTTCTCCTTCGATATCTCACGAACGAATGAACCGATTTTATTTTCCAAACGGCATTCGACGTCAATTTCTGAGGTAAAGAACTGATTAGTTTTTGAATTATGAAAGGTTTACACACACACACACACACACACACACACACACACACACACACACACACACACACGCACACGCGCACGCGCACGCGCACGCGCGCGCGCACGCACGCACGTACGCACGCACGCACGCACGCACGCACGCACGCACGCATGCACGCACGCACGCACGCACGAACGCACGCACGCACGCCCGCACGCACGCCCGCACGCCCGCACGCACGCACGCACGCACGCCCGCACCCACGCACGCAGCACGCACGCACGCACGCCCGCACGCCCGCACGCACGCACGCCCGCACGCCCGCACGCCCGCACGCACGCACGCCCGCACGCCCGCACGCCCGCACGCCCGCACACCCGCATGCCCGCACGCCCGTACGCCCGCACGCCCGCACGCCCGCACGTCCACACGCCCGCACGCCCGCAAGCCCGCACGCACGCACGCACTCACGCACGCACGCACGCACGCACGCACGCACGCACACACGCACGCCAGCCCGCACGTCCGCACGCACGCACGCACGCACGCAAACACGCACGCATGCACGCACGCACGCACGCGCGCACGCACGCACGCACGCACGCCCGCACGCACGCCCGCCCACACGCACGCACGTACGCACGCCGCACGCACGCATGCACGCACGCACGCACGCACGCACGCACGCACGCACTCACGCCCACCACGCCCACACGCCCGCACGCCCGCACACCCGCACGCCCGCACGCTCGCACGCCCGCACGCTCGCACGCCCGCACGCCCGCAAGCCCACACAAACGCACGCACGCACGCACGCACGCAAGCACGAACGCCCGCCCGCCCGCACGCACGCACGCACCCAAACACGCACGCACGCACGCACGCACGTACGCACGCTCGCACGCCCGCACGTCCGCCCGCTCACACGCGCGCACGCACGCACGCACTCACGCATGCACGCATGCACGTACGCACGCACGCACGCACGCACGCATGCATGAACGCACGAACGCACGGCAAGACGCACGCAGCACGCACGCACGCACGCGCACGCAAAGCACGCACGCACGCACGCACGCACGTACGCACGCACGCACACATGCGCGCATACATCCGTACGGAAGTTCACGTGAAATTAGTCAGAATAATAGCTTCCTGGGGTCTCAAAACGTCGAGATCTGTTGAAAACTCGATTTTTGAAAATTTGGGTGAAACCTTGTTGTCGTCAGCCTTTTTAAGTCTACTCATAGATTATTTTTTTTTTCAAAATAAACAAACAAGAATACATTTTTGAAAATGTTCAATTTTCTTAGAGGGGAAGTTAAATACTTGGTAAGTAATCTGAACATCTACACTTTGACTTCATCACGTAAATAAGTTATTTTAAATCAGAGTTTCCGGTTGCAGGTTCTTGATATCGGAAGGTTTTCAGTCTTGGAACTTCCATACGGGAGATTTATTTCCGGAATTATTTCGGGAACTAGCAACTATTTAACTGGTTTCTTGCAAGAAAAGAAGGCAGTAATTTAACAAATGTTCTTTGATTTCGTTGTATGACGAATAAGACTGACTGCTTTAATAAAAATTTATTAAGTCAGTCTTAATCAAATTAAGTTACATCGTAGTTTTGATCGCTTGATATTAAAGTTGTGTTTATTTATAAATAAATATTAAATGATTGATTTTTTGTCATAGACTGATAATTGGACATTTGAAACAGAAAAACATATAAGTAGGTATTTAAACTAAACGGAGTTAGGGAAATATGAATTAGAAACATACAATAAATAAAAATCCACACTTGGAAGTTCTACAGGCGTCAGATTAGGTGCATTCACCGATATCAGAATATCATTCAAATAAACGTGAAAAATAGGAAGTGTATACCATTTACATAAAGGACAACGCTTTAAAGAAAAATGAGGAAGTTGGCGTTTTCCTTGATGACTCAAAGACTTTTGATAGGGTCCGTCCTTTTAAGCAAGTGTTCAGCGTTCGTGTTATTCGCTGGTCAAAGCAAATCTTAATTTTTTTATCATGCTGTTGAAGAAGAATGTTCACTCGATGGTTTATATTAACGCCAATAGTTTTATCGTATTTGAAAAAAAATAATTTAATAATTCAATAGTAGTGCAAATAATAACTAAACCACATACCTATCGCCTCTCATAAACTTTTCAACCTTTCCTCTATCTATCCTTTGTAATGTATGTTCGAAGTTTAGATTCAGTAACAGGGTTAAGATGGATTCTGTTTGCGATTTTCTGCAAAGTTTCACACTAAAACCATTTTACCCAAAGGGGAATCTCGTATTTTGTTTTATGTTACCTAGAGAATACACCTGTTAAATATGTAACAGAAGTACGCTCATGGTTGGACATTTGACAATATTTTATGTAATCGTAAATTGACTTCATGTTTGAAATAAAAAAAATTTCATTTAAATTAACTTCTATTTCGGATCTGTTCATCATCATCACTTATTTAGATGCCACTGTTGGACATTGGCCTATCTAAGAGTGCGTAGTTCGTATGCATTCGCTGGCAGAATTACTGATATTAGTAGCTTATATTTGAAATCGTCGTCGTCGTCGTTGTCGTCAGTCTTTTTAAGTCTACTCATAGACTTTTTTTAAATAAACAAACAAGAATACATTTTTAAAGAGCTCGATAACAGTGTCACTCGCTGCATGTATCTCAACCATCCGCGCATTCGAACACATCCAAAAAATTACATCAAAATCAGTCCCACCGTTTAGGAGAAGTTCAGTGACAAAGAATTATATATACAGAAGTATACAGAATTATATATACAGAATATACAGAAGAATTATATAAATTTATATAAGAAAAGAAAACGAATGTTCAGAGGTATGCGTGATGCCTTCACAGTTGTGTCAACCAATGTATGAGCCAACAATATCAAGTTGCACAGTGGCACTTTTCTTCTAGGGTTGAAATAGATGCGGTAGCTCAGTGAATGGGTGTTTGCTTTAAATTATTCTTGCTCTTTTTTACCATTTCCTTATTTGGGATAGGTAACCATTTTTTTTTTGCAAAATTGCTTTCAGCCTTTGTGTTCATATCACACGTATTTAGCCAATAATGTATAGCATGTTTTAGCTTATGGTAGTGTGCGAATATCTAGAAAAATAACTTTAACAGATAAAACTAAGTTTAAATAACTGGTTCGTTTGTCTATTCTAGACAGTCAGGTAAATCTCTAGAAGCGCTCGTTGCACTCGCTTTACGATGTTTTGTATAGTAATCCAAACAGTGGTCCTCATGCAAAATGTAAACGGGAGCCAACGCCCCGTCCGCCTCGAATTACCTACTCGAAGAACGGAATTGCGGTTTTGCCACTCCACTAAATAAATATATAACTTACTGTATTTCTTAACTTTAACCCATTTTGGTTTGAAATAATACCATTTTTTTACGGATTTTCTGAATTTCTGAATTTCTGACTGATATCTCAGTCCCCCCGTGACCATGGGTGCTATTATAAAGCGCTCGAAATGTCGGGTATTTATAGTTAAATATACGCGATAAAATCCGTAAAAACCAATATTATTTCAATGTGTAGTGTTCGCGTAAATATAAGAAACCATTTTAGTTTATCGTACAGGTCATACTCTGTGAAATAGATGGCATA